GAGCGAACTGTATTTCTTTTCTAAGAGGCCAAATTGAATTAATCTAAGACAGAAAACAAACAGAAAAACAACAGTCAGAGCTAACTGACGTGCTGTTCTATTGAAGTGTCTGCCCCCCCTACGTTAAGACGTACGTTACCAGATAAACAAATGATAAACAGTTTGATGACAGATTATGTTCAGGCTAAACACCTTCTCTACATTATTTTATTACATCTGTGATTAACATAAAGCATATGGGGCAATATGATGTTGCAGTTCTACTACATATGTAATTTTAGATCAGTACATCCAGATGAAGATGACTAGTCACGTGATATTCCACGGAGACATTGTGGGAATGTAAACACTGCGAACATTGCAGTGTTGCTGTTTACTTGTGAGCTGAACTGAGTCAGTTTAACTGGCGAAAAGCATAAATGTAATGTTTCCACCAGATATATTAGCTGAGTGAAGCAACTGCAAACCAAGAAACGGGGTACTATGGAGTAGTTTACTGTAGGAGGCTATACAAGGCGATGACAACTCACATGCATCGTGACGTTGGTTACCAACAATACATTTAATAAGGAAGGGGCAGACGAGAATGGCGTAGTGACGTCAATACAGTGTGACGTCATGCACAAAGTGTACTTCATCGCCTGATAAAGTAGTGTCAGTGCCTTTCATCTTTTAGCAAAGCATCTTATTATATACCATACATTCTTGCATTTTTTTCAGGTGAATAATTGACTTGCCTTTTCATGTGTTTGTAATAAGTACCACTGAAGGGGCAGAATATGCTCACCTATACAAAAACACCGGGTATCATCACTATTGTAAAGTGTGTCATAAACAAACTCTGCTTTATGAACATGTAAAAAAATTGTTACTAATATATATGAGTACAAGAACCTGTTGACTGTTTGGAAACATCTTCTGTTTATTCTTGTTTATAAATATCTGAGTGAATGACGCCTTTGTCAGCAATATTTCAGCCAGATGACGGCTGAAGAAAATATGGATAAAAAATGAAGGAAATGTTCACTTAAGTCCTGTGTCATTCTTATTGTTATGAATACAGAAAAAAATCAAAATTTTTGCATCCTAAGAACTATTCTGTTATCTATGATAACATTCTTGACAACTTCCATTGTTTTAAAAGGTTGTTTGTTTGTTTGTTCTCTTGGTGGGAAAATAATACAAACAGTTCCTTCCCCATTAACTTATTTTCCCATAATGACCCCTACAGAGAAATATGCTGAGAAATGCAAACATTACATGATAAAATGAAACATGGCATGTTGTGCTTCCTTGAATGTCAAGTCAAAGAGTGAGTGAGTTTTAAGTTTACATCACTGTAAGCAACATTCTAGCAATACCATGCCAGGGACACCATGTGGGGAATCTAACCCGGGTCTTCGGCGTGATGACCGACCGCTTCAACCACTAGGCTACCCCACTGCCGTAAAGTCAAAGAACTGTTTACTCAACACTTTCATAGACTGATTCTTGAAGTTCATAAACATGGGAGTAGGTATATTTGTTTTCTCATGACATACAGTATTACACGATGGATGACGGAACAGAATAGTTGTTGAAAACATATGCAGTGATCAATACCAAAGGGTAACTATTTGCTGACATATGGTGTGGAGATTATCCTTGTACTGCTTCAGTCAGTTTCATGTCCATCTTAGATGTCCATTGTTTCCTCGATCTGTTGCATCATGTGGATTCAGATTCAGGGTAAGAACAGACATTCCCAGTGACCCATGCTTCTCATAAAAGGTGATAAGATGGAATTGGTAGTCAGACTTATGGACTTGGTGGACTGCTGGACCTCAAATCCCAACTGCATCAATTGATACACCTGATGCCAATCACTGGATTGTCTGGTCCAGACTCAATTATGTACAGACAGCCATCATATAGTGCTCAGTGTGAATAAACCACATACAAAAACACCCAACAACATATATTACTGATGAAGTCGCTTTAACATGTAAGATATATTCAATGCCTACACACATGTTCAGTGGAAGCCCTCTAAACCGGCAGCCCTCCAATCCGGCATGCTCTCAATATCGGCACTAGAATTTGGTCCCGGCAGAAACTAGTAAATTTATGATCATTTACACGCCCTCTAATCCGGCGTCAGTCTATTCCGTATTTTGGCACAACAAAGACCGCCCAATTGACTGTTTGTAAAGGAATTAACGCTCTCTAAACCGGCAGCCGGTATCTCGGCTATCCTGTTGATCGGCTGAACGAGTATTAACAACATAGTGGATTACCATCAGCATTAATAATATAATAATGCACTTGTATAGCACCTAATTTCCAACCGGTGGCTGCTCAGTGGTGCTTCACAAAGTTAAAAATAAAAATAAAATAAACAGAATTATTGGTTGAAGAGATAGGTTTTCAAGTCACGGTGGAATGACTGGACAGAGTCCGCAGATTTGAGAGATATTGGGAGGCTGTTCCACAGAGTTGGAGCCACAACAGAAAAAGCCTGGCAAGCTAACTTTGTCCTCGTGAAGGGTACACAGAGTTGGAGTTGATCAGATGAGCGGCGTCTACGAGCAGGGAGATAGGGAGTGAGGAGGTCCTTAAGATAGGCTGGAGCAGTGTCAGTGTGGAGGGCAGAAAAGCAGATAGTCAGGATCTTGAAGGATATTGCTTGATGGGTAGCCAGTTCTCTGAGAATTGGAGTGATGCGTTCATGTAGTCTAGAGTGGGTTATGAGGTGGGCTGCTTTGTTTTGTACTCACTGGAGATGTGAGATAATGCCAGATCCAGAAATAAGAGAGTTGCAATAGTCCAGATGGGACAAGACGTAAGAATGAATCAACGTTTTGCAGGTATCAGAATCTTAATATTTTCGGATTCTACCCGAAGGTGTGGAGCTTGAAATTGGTGGTTCTTGCTGTTTTGAGTGCCTGTGCTTTTCCTGACATGCATTTGTCCATTTCAACTCCAAGATTCTTGACTGAGGATAACAGAGTCACAGAAGATGTTCCTACCAATAGTCTGATACTGTCAACTTCAACCAAAGAATAGAATATAAAATCCTCACTCTCGCTTTCAAGTGCCTCCATGACAAAGCTCCAATCTATCTGAAAGATCTCCTCAGTGAATATGTCCCACCACGGCTTTTAAGATCAAGTTCTAATTGTCAGTTGAATGTCCCCAAGGTCAGATTAAAGTCATATGGACATAGACAGTTCTCTTACACAGCTCCCCTTTTCTGGAACTCACTGCCTCTTCACATCCGACAAGCCGCGTCCGTGGAATCTTTCCAGTCCCAACTGAAAACTTTCCTTTTTAAACAAGCTTATGAACTTTAATCCTTTCTTCAGATCACTCTATCTTTTAGCGCCTAGAGAAATTGCCTTGCAGTTTGATTTGTGCGCTATACAAGAACACTTATTATTATTATTATTAACTTTGTTTAGCTGTTGAGGCGTCCTATGACCATAAACTCAGTTTTATCACTGTTGAGCTTAAGAAAATTAGCTGACATCCAGTCCTGGATGCACTTGATGCATATGTGTAGTTGGTCAACTCCATCCTGGATTCTTTTATGCTTTATGCCAATGTACAACTGCTGATCATCTGCATAGCTGTGGAAGTTGAGTGAATGCTGACGAATTATACTTCCTAGAGGCTGTATGTACATTGAAAAGGACAGAACCCAGCACAGATCCTTGTGGAACTCCACGCTTCAGGTCCTTAGGATCAGAACAGACTCTGTCAATCTGTATGCTCATAGATCTCTTGTCAAGGTAAGATTCCAACCAAGCTAGAACTGTGCCTGCTTACACCAAAGGTGTGCTTGAGACGGGATAGCAAAATGCAATGGTCCACAGAGTCAAGAGCCGCAGACAGATCCAGCAGCACCAGCAAAACAACTTCCTGTTTAACTTCCATTAAGCTCATTGATGTTGCCTGATAAAAGGAGTATGGATAAGGATTAGGCCCAAGTAGGGCAGGTAAATTGGTGAGTGACACGCGTCACTTGTATTATAAATTAATTGTTGAAAACAGTAAATTTGACAAAATTAACACACTGACGCATGATTGGATTTGACTGCCCGCAGTAAACACATGCCCATTTCTGGCCCTATTTTGAAAGAGAAAGCTATAATTCAGTTTGCTTCAGAATTAAATGTCAACGAGTTTAAGGCATCAAATGTGAGCCGAAAGTGCAAGTGTAGATCAGAGTAATGCTGACAAGTTTAAGTCCCGCCTCCCCGACTTTGATTGATGGATATGCGACTGAAGATGTCTTTATCTTCGATGAGACTGGTTTGTTTTTCCGTGCTTTACCGAATAAGTCCCTATCCAAGAAATGTGATGCAGCCAAAGGTGGTAAAGTCTGTTAACTGTTCTTCTAAGGTTGAAAAGGGAAAAGTTCTCTAAACCAGCACGCCCTCTATACCGGCAGTTTTTGCCGGTCCCAATGAATGCAAGTTTAGAGGGCTTCCACTGTACATGTCCAAATTAGGCGCACATATAGAATAACAAACATGTTTCACCTTTTTGGACACGGTAACTAACAGAAATAAGATCAAAACAAGTCTGATTATTACAAACCCTTTGAAGTGGTACTAATCAATATTGTAGTTTGATTGTGTTTTAGTGCATCAAATGTAAGCAGCCAAATCTACTAATTAGATTACTGAAAGCACATCTGAGGTCCAAAAGAGAAACAGCTTGTTAGTAGGTATAGATTTTGCTTGTCATTTAAAAAAACATGGGTCTGCCACAAAGTGTTAAACTTTTAGTGCACCCACCTCCAAGATATTTATGAAATATATCGTAAAAACTCTATAAAACCATACTAACTCGTGTATGTCCATAACCCAAGAGGTAAATATAGTGTTACTAGGGGTGAAACGGTACGCTCTTACCACGGTATGGTACGTATTGCGGTACAAGGCCTTCTGTTCGGTATATGAGAACTTACTTCTGGGAAAATGGCGGCTGTCTAGCAAAGAAATGCATAGATTTTGACAAAATGAATCGATTTCTAGACATTTTAGAAAAGGTTTTGAAAGGTTAGTTAAATGACGATACGAAAACCGAATGTACTGAATTTTTGGATTGCATTATGGTATACCGAACCAAAGGCAAAATACCGCTGTTCTACTAATACAGCAGTATACCATTTCACCTCTAAGTGTAACTTCAATTCAGTGTGTACATTATTCGAAAGGTAGAATGCTTCTGAAGTAAATGACTTGATCTAAGCTACATTTTGAACAAATCATATCATATCAAAACTTATCACCTTATTGTGCAAGGCAAGATTACAGTAACACTGATAAATGACAGCTCCACAGTGGTGAAACCCGCGTGAAGTGGCAAGGTGTTGACAGATAATGTCACCTAGGTGGACTTGGCTTGGGCAAAACACCTAACATTTCAATCCTGATCTGGTGCATGCATTTCTCCAAGCCAATAAGAAAGCAACCTGCTTGTGGTTTGTGACTCAGGACATCCATTACTCATTGGCCAGAATCAGTGTCTTTGGTGTCCCGAAAAGATTCATTCAATTTCTTGAAACACATTTTGAAGTGCTGCTAAATCTCATATTCATAACCCCATTCAGTGAATCAGTGTGCATGCAATTTCCAATTTCTGCTCCTTTGATAGAGTGCAACCAAAGCTGTCTGTGAAGCGTTAGAAGGTTAATAGTTACCATCTCAGTACCCATTCACTATTGGGTGAACATGGGTATATTTCAAAGTCCCTGGCGACACCAATGTGCTGCATGTGCTTCAATGACAGGCAGGATTGACGGCGCTGAAACTCTCAAGAGCTAAGCTTAAGCACGTGCCAATACAAACACTGTCACTTTCAAACAAAGTACTAATTACGCCTAGACTTGAATTGACTGTAAGTAGCCATGTCAGTTTTAAAAGAGGTAACTTAAGCTTAACAAAGTTCAGAAAGCACAAACACATACAGTGCACGTTTTCATTTTATTATGCCCACCAAAAAATATTGCAGTCTATTATGGCATCAGAGACATTGATGAATGAACCTACAACCTATGAGCTGTCAATGGGTCATGCACAATTTCCATACATCAATACCTGGATCAATCCTTATTGCCTCATCTTTCCAATCTGTGACTGGAAACCGAGATGCTTCAATAGCAGGAAATCCAGCAACACTGTCATATGCTAGAAAACCGCCTTTCATTATTTGTATTCTGTAACATATTTTCACAAGAATAACTTGATTTCACCCATGTCTTCCTTTCCAAGCTATAGATCACAGTTGACTGTCTACCGGAGACCTGATTTAGCGACTATTCAACTGAGCTTATGTTACTCAAGACAATACCCTCACTTGTGGGGACAGACAGAACAAAAGATCATCCTCACCACCAGGAAATCAAGTGGGATGAAAATCGGTTAGGCATGACAGCCCTTTTTCTTTCGCCTGCCAATGGGACGGACATATTAACTTGGGAATGCCTATACAAAGAAACACATTCTCACAAACATAATGAAAAATAGGATTATACCATGCACAGTATTGCTTTGAATTTTGACAACCTGAAATGAATTTTTATTTATGCTTTTGTTATTATTCTTATGTATCAACCATAAAGAGAAACTATCAAAAAGGTTTTTCAAACGTTGGTCCACTGCTCATCACAGTGCGAGTTTGCTTTCATCTTGTGATATTTATGGCCACTGACAACATTTAGCTCGAAGAGGCAGATAATATTTCTATCTACTAACTGAACCATGAAAAACTTTGGTTTTAGTTGGATGTGGAAAAAAATTAATGTGATTATATGAAACGATGTTGAGTTACATTGAGATTCCAGTCATGTATATTTTCATCCCACTCGGCAACTGAAGCAAAGATGGTTAGAAGGGTTACACTTAATGTAGACAATACCTCTGCCAACAGATTTCAATATTCATATGCTGTACCTTTAGAGATCAGATTCATAGTGGTCTGTGACTCCAGTAGTATTAGTAAGGGGTGTTTTGGACCACTTCCGCTTATGGCATTATTTATGACTAATTAAGCTTTGAATTGTTTGTTTGTTGTTTAATGCTGCACTCAGCAATATTGAGCTATATGGAAGCGGTCTGTAAATAATCGAGTCTGGACCAGACAATCCAGTGATCAACAACATGAGCATCAATCTTATTAATTGGGGTATGATGACATGACTGTCAAGCCTGACCACCCGATCCCATTAGTAGCCTCTTATGGCAAGCATGGATTGCTGAACACAAATTCTAACCTGCATCTTCACGGAATGTGTGAATTAATGTTGCAATAGTGCAACAATAGTCTGGACCAGACAATCCAGTGATCAACAGCATGAGCATTGTTCTGCACAATTGGGAACCAATGACATGTGTCAACCAAGCCAGCGAGCCTGACCACCCGATCCCGTTAGTCGCCTCTTACGACAAGCATGGGTTACTGAAGGTTCATTCTAACCTGGACCTTCCTAGCCATAGCATTGTGTACCCTTACCATTGTTAACCTCAATAAAGGGGTCTGCCTAATGATAAATCCCTAACATGGACATTACTTCAAAAAAGACTGGACATCATAATCACTTTTAAGAGAGTTGGTAATTTAGTTTCAGCCACTTTTAGCAATATTCCAACAAAATCATGGCACAGACACCAGAAATGGTACCCATGTCGAGAAGTGAACCCAGGTGATGAGGGAATGTTTTAAGCACTACCCTACCCTCCCGCCCCTCATTGCTTTCAAGATAGGTTACCCAAAACATAATGGAAAGAGTCTCATGTATGGAAATATATTGGGTTTAAGACTTCTCTGAACAGCATTCTTGTTTCCCTGGAGAGTCTGTAGTTTTATTTGGAGATGTAAAGAAATAAAAAGACAATAGCATCTCAAGTTATCAGAACCGTGTTAAATGATTTACACCTGAGACTTTTCATATACCATTCTCTACATACAGAGGCTTTTGAATACAGTCCATCCCACTTCCGGACACAATACAAGTCCATTGTCCACCTCCGCAGTCACGATTAATGAGAAACATGTATGAAACGACAGAGTTCCCTTCGTCCATTCAAGACCTTTATACAATAGTGCTGTCCAGTGAGATATCATCCATTGTCACGCAAAGAAAAATAATTATGGTACTGACCACATGTGTCCAGACAGAGTGATACTAAGGATATAAAGGAAAAAGAATGAATGATACAATTTTTATGTGTTTCCATTGAGGGGATAGCACACTGGTTAAAGCGTTTGCTCATCACACCAAAGGCCCAGGTTTAATTCCGCACATGGGTACAATGTATTAAACCCATGACTGGTGTCCCTTGCTTTGATATAGCTGGCATATTGCTAGAAATGCTATAAACACACTCACCTCTAGTTCAACTGATACATAAACATAATCAAACTTAAAAGTACATAAATGGAACATATTTCAATACGATCTGAACTTTTATCACATCTAATCTCTGGACACCTTATAAGGAGTGCATGAGTTTAGTTTTACCCTGCTTTTAACAATATTCCAGCAATATCATGGCGGTGGACACCAGAAATGGGCTTCACACATTGTCCCCATGTGGGGGATCGAACTTCAGTGTGATGAGCAAACGCCTTAACCAAAAGGCTACCCTTAGGCCAGGCATTGCCCCACTTTCTAAGGAAGATATGAGGTACTGTTTAGGAGTGACTAAAATCAGAGCTAGTGAGTATCAATCAATATATTTAAACAATTGTCTTGTCTACTCATTCAAAGTACACTTATATTGTAAATCTAATCACAAAGTAAGAGTGTGTCAGGTTCACATCCAGCATTAATACAATGTGTAGACTGCTATACATACAATGCCTTATCCAAAATAAAGAATACTTAAACTGTAAGCAGTTCACTGAATCTCAACAGCTTCATGGGTAAATCATTCCACCCTTAAACTCTGCTGGAGTCATCACAAGGTTGAAAATAGCGTCTCATCACAAGCATGTGATACTGGAGACTATTCTGCTCTGGAATCTGCACAGGCTTCCATTAACGCAAAGGTTATTGGAAAGCTGTTCTGCTCTCAGGGATATCTCCATGCTCTCAAGGCAAATATTGGCTTCTGGACAGCTATTCTGCCCTGTTATCACTCCAGGGCCCTGTTCCTCAAAGCGATCATAGCGCTATGACAGTCGTAAGTCTATGTTAAAGTATGGGAGTTACGATCACCTTAGCCCTAGGATCGCTTTGAGGAACGGGGCCCAGGCTCTCAAGATAAGTATTGGCTTCTGGACAGCTATTCTGCTGTTATCTCTCCAGGGTATCTCAAGACATGAGTATTGGTTTCTGGACAGCTATTCTGCCCTGTTACCTCTCCAGGCTCTCAAGACAAACATTGGCTTCTGGAGAGCTATTCTGCTTTTATCTCTCCAGGGTATCTCAAGACAAGTATTGGCTTCCAGACAGCTATTCTGCTGTTATCTCTCCAGGGTATCTCAAGACAAGTATTGGCTTCCGGACAGCTATTCTGCTGTTATCTCTCCAGGGTATCTCAAGACAAGTATTGGTTTCTGGACAGCTATTCTGCCCTGTTATCTCTCCAGGCTCTCAGGACAAGTATTGGCTTCCGGAGAGCTAATCTGCCCTGTTATCACTCCAGGGCCCCGTTCCTCAAAGCGATCATAGCGCTACGACAGTCGTAAGTCTATGTTAAAGTATGGGAGTTACGATCACCTTAGCCCTAGGATCGCTTTGAGGAACTGGGCCCAGGCTCTCAAGATAAGTATTGGCTTCTGGACAGCTATTCTGCCCTGTTACCTCTCCAGGCTCTCAAGACAAACATTGGCTTCTGGAGAGCTATTCTGCTTTTATCTCTCCAGGGTATCTCAAGACAAGTATTGGCTTCCGGACAGTTATTCTGCTGTTATCTCTCCAGGGTATCTCAAGACAAGTATTGGTTTCTGGACAGCTATTCTGCCCTGTTATCTCTCCAGGCTCTCAGGACAAGTATTGGCTTCCGGAGAGCTAATCTGCCCTGTTATCTCTCCAGGCTCTCAGGACAAGTATTGGCTTCCGGAGAGCTAATCTGCCCTGTTATCTCTCCAGACTCTCAGGACAAGTATTGGCTTCCGGAGTGCTAATCTGCCCTGTTATCTCTCCAGACTCTCAGGATAAGTATTGGCTTCCAGAGAGCTAATCTGCCCTGTTATCTCTCCAGACTCTCAGGACAAGTATTGGCTTCCGGAGAACTATTCTGCCCTGTTAAGTCTCCAGACTTACATTACAAGTATGAACTACTGGATGCTATTGTATTTGAGATCGCATGACTTCTTGGGAACATTTCCAGTCTATTCTGCTGTAGTATCTCTCCAGGCTCTCAAGACAAGCATGGACTGCTAGCAAGCTATTCTGGCCTGAGATCTCTTCAGGTGTTCGTGTTTTGTTTGTTGAACACCACACTCAGCAATATTTCAGCTATATGGCGGCCAAGCTTTCGCAACAAGCATGGACTACTGGATACTATTGTATTTGAGGTTGCATGACTTCTGGAAGACATTTCTAGTCCTGGAATCTCCACTTGACATAGCGTCTGCACCAGAAGCTAACCAGGCTACAATATGGTGGCATCAGTGCAAGGAAGGACATCATGAATGACATCATGAATGAAATGTTACCATATGTTATATTGGGGATTACACTTTCTAGTGCAAGCTAAGGACACCATGAATGAAATGTTACCATATGTAATATTGGGGATTACACTTTCTAGTGCAAGGAAGGACACCATGAATGAAATGTTACCATATGTTATATTGGGGATTACACTTTCTAGTGCAAGCTAAGGACACCATGAATGAAATGTTACAATATGTTATATTGGAGATTACACTTTCTAGTGCAAGCTAAGGACACCATGAATGAAATGTTACCATATGTTATATTGGGGATTACACTTTCTAGTGCAAGCTAAGGACACCATGAATGAAATGTTACCATATGTTATATTGGGGATTACACTTTCTAGTGCAAGGAAGGACACCATGAATGAAATGTTACCATATGTTATATAGGGGATTACACTTTCTAAGTGAAGTACAGATTCTAGTAATTTTGTTGTTGTATTCATAAAACGTTAAGTCTGTGAAGCCTGCATTAAGTCTGTGAAGTCCGTGAAGTCTGTGTTAAGTCTGTGAATGTGGCTATTCTCATACAGCAGATTCGAAACATAAAACTCTCATATCTGACACTGGAGATAGCCTAAGGTGATAGTCTACTGGTCTGTTATGATAATCCTTTGCAATCCCGTTGACTCTGGTTACAATGTCAACATTTGTCCAGGAACACTTGGGCATTATATTCAGGGTAGCATAAAAACAAGGAAGTCATTCGAGTCACTCAATATGAAGTCATACATGAACAGATGTATATCTAATAAATACAAGGGTAGTGTATCTTTATCCATTAAACAAGTATATATATACCAAATAGATAAAAATACAACATTCATATTATTTCTGCTATATCTTTATGATATGCACAAAGAACAGTGAATTCATTCAAAGCAATGAGTTTCCTCTGTCAGTTCAAGTCATGCCAGTCAGGGGTAACATCATCATTTCACAGAAACCAATGATTTTCCTGAATCTGTTATTGTGTTAAGACATTTATTTGTAAAAACACCATTAACTGAAAATCCAGTCTAAAGCGTTAAGTCTGAATCATCTTAAGGAAAGCTCAAAAACTTACTCAACTTATACACTGAATAATCAGCTTATCATAGCTGCCACTTTGCTGAAGTTTGCTGATTGGTCAAAGGAAATTGGCTTTTTTACCAGGGTACGGGAACATTTCTGCTGAGAAAGGTTGGAGGTGACAATATACCTGGTTCAGCATTTATTTCCTGGGAATCTTAAAATGTTGATAAATCTGTTCTGGAAACCATGACATTATAATAAGTTTGGCATTGTAACCATGGTGGATTGTATTTGGAAATAGAAGGATATTTATATGTTTATGTGACAAGCAGTGAAGCTCTACTGTGAGGGAGAGCTTTTATGCTTTTTTCATGTTCTTTTCATGAAATTAGAGGATGCCCAGCAGTGTTTGAAATAAAAAAATGACAGGTGTCATCACGTTCCTCAGGCAATAAAAACTGCAGGCTCTGGTTAAACTCTTCAAGCCCACAATAATTTTTATTCCAAGTTTAATCAAACCTAAAATAACTCAAATTTAAAATAACCTTTGCACTGGTTATAGAAAATATCAACAGGAAGTGAATGCACTTCCTTCAGAAAATAACATGCAAGTTGGGAAGTGTGTTCAAAACGTTTATACAAATTTGTCATGAAAAACTAACAAAAGTCTACTGCAAAATGGCTGCATACTGTGACACATGAAATAACATTTATATTTAGTGCAGGCCATAAGAACCCCATAATTTTAAGAAACAGGCCATGGATTTGGTATTTTAAATGTGGATGCCCAGATATTTTTATCTTCATACCCTATGTTCAGGAGTAGGAAGGAAAAGAATCTTCACACTGTCGTTGACATAAAAAGAGAAGGAGAGGAATATGATCCTTGTAGTATCACCACAGCAAATCTGTGTTGAGAATACAGAAGGGTAATACAGACAGTTATTACAATGACCTGCATTCTCAACTGGTGACCAGGTAGCTGTCAACATGTCCTGTGGGGTGTCAGCAGGTGACATTTTGGGGTGACATTGGAGGTGACATTGTGGGGTGACATTGTTGCAGGAAACAGACAGGTAGAACTGTAACAGTCAGATTAACCTGTGATATCTGTCATAGGATAAATGTCTGATGTGTCCTGTGGGATGTGACTCTCATTGTCATGAGAATATGTGAATCAGACTGGGTGGGTGAGTGAGTGAGTCTGGGTGGGTGGGTGAGTGAGTGAGTGAGTGTGTGTGGAAATCTGAAATGTCTACTCTTCTGAAATGTGAACATTTATGGATTTTTTTTGTTAATTATCAGATTAAATTACATCTAAACAGGGTATGAGAGTTCGGGCCAACATATATGTATGCTCTTTAAAAAGACTTTTCATAGCGTAAAGACAAAACAGATACCACCCTACACATATTGTATTTCAGGAAGAATGATTCCTGTATCAGGATTTGTTGAAATACTGGACATCTAGCAAGCTCCAGGATTTGTTACAATATAGACACATGCATCCCATCTTCATAACAACTGTGGCACCCAGTATGTGCCAGCATATTAAAACTAAATTTGACACACATTTGACTCTATTTGCTATTTATGAACTTAAATTTCCAATCAATGGACAAAGTTCAAAACGTTTATCATATTTCTATTCCATTTTCATTTCTTATTAGTAACATCTGCAGAGTTCTGATTATGAATTTCACATTGCCTTTCTAAAATCACATAAACAAATGAAGAATCGGCATAGTGTCGAAGTCAATTTATCCCAATGAATAGCTGTTATTGAAATGTGTGACAAACTGAATAAATCTGTTATCAGCAACATGTTCCCAAGGCCTGTACGTGTGGCAGATGGCACACAATAGGCATGTGTCCATTTTTTATAATTGATAGAATTGTGCTCTTAAATTTTTTTGATTTTGTAAGGGTACATGTGTTCTTAATGATAAAAGCCAAATATCTATCACAGAACATTGGTTGCACTTTTATGTTACAAAACATTATATTGATCAAAAGAAAATAATGATTAAGTGTAAATATGTCTTATCTCCAAGTATAATAGAGTGAATTCAATATTTGCCATGTGCCAGCTATTTAACAGTATCCTGTAAATGACATTGTCATAACTGTAAAAACTTTTATTATTTTTAATTATTTTGTTGCACATCATCACACCCAGCAATGTTTAATCTACATGATGGTGTATGAGACAGGGATTTGGTGGTACATTTGCTGGACAATGCAGTAAATGTCTCTGGAGACTTTTTTCTCAAGCTTTGAGTGAGAGAGTGAGTGAGTTTAGTTTTACTCCACTTTTAGCAATATTCCAGCAATATCACAGTGGGGACACCAGAAATGGGCTTCACACATGTCAGGAATCAAACCTGGAATTTCAGCATCACGAGCGACCGCTTTAACCACTAGGCTACCCCAACACCCCTCAAGCCTTGGAATGTGGTGAAGACATATGTTCAGAGTTCAGAGTTCAAGCCAAACATTGATATAAATGATCATCATGGTGCATGGTTTGATCATATTTTTATTCTTCATGTACCCGGATACAGATATATAACCTGCTGTGACAAAGCATATCATTACAGTCTTCAAACAATGTTGACATCAGATTCCAACCAAAGAGCTTACCCCTTATAATGCACTGCACAAAGAGGACCTTGTATGCCTGTAGTTTCATTATTCATAAATGGAGCACAGTTCATTGTACATATAATACTGTTTATGTGTAGCATTAATTTAAAGATGACATGACATAAAGATTCAGTACAAATGTAATATCATCCAGACATATAATTGTGTGTATATTTATGATGGTAACGATTTGTACTGAATGATATTCCCCTTTTCCGTAAGGTGCTATTTCATTTTCCTTTTAAATCGTTTCACATGTCGCATTCTGCAATCGCATTTCGCTTCACATTTCTAGTTTTGTATGCATTCCGAATTTTTGGAAATAAGACCACTATGTCAGAATGTATGAATATGGCAGTTACTCCACAGATGACTACCTTTGAAGTCTTTACTTTGTCTGGACACATACAGTTGTCAAAAAACAAAACACTATTTTTGTTGGCATATTCATAACATAAACTTAAACAATTTCAACATAAAACTTGGAGGTGGATTAGTTTATTGGTCAAAATGTTGGCTCATCATGCAAAGACCTGGTTCAATTCCCATATGGGTACAATGTGTGAAGCCCATTTTCAGTGCCCCCTGCTATGATATATATATATATATATATTGCTCGAATATTGCTAATAGTGGCATAAAACATTACTCACTCATACACTTACTGGGATTGCTGTTCCTGAACATACACACTGACAATTGTTATACATAGGCAGCTACGTGGAAAGGGACACACCTATATGCAAGGCTTCACATTGTAAACAACAGCTGAAATAACCGTCACGAAGATATTCTTACACATTTACATACAGCAATACAACAAGTCATCTCACGTCAGTTTTTAAATCTCAACCGGACATGACTGTATTTGTAGGAAGATTGCAGCTGAAGCCCCTTCATGTTGAACTGAAATCCCAACAACTGGTTTGTCATGCTGGGAATCAAGGATGCATACTACTTTAAGGATTACAACTTGTTTACTGCATAGATTAAAGGTCACATGCAACCAAAAAATCAAACATAATTAAAACACAATTATCACTTATTCATGACATATAATATACATTGCTGGTTATGAAAACATATAAACAAAATTATAAGCGTACAATCGCAAATCAAAAGTGCAATATTATGTACTTGGGTTTACTTTCCAAGAAACGAAGCAGCCGGGATACCGAACCCAGTCAGAGTGGTGGGTGTGCACTCAAGTGTAACGGCTGGTTCATTTGCAGATGCCCTCACGGCTCATTGTGTGTGTATATATAGAGATGTTGGGTTTTGTAAATACATGCTCATTTTTTGTGTATAACATTTTGCAATCAACAGACATCATAACATGTCATGTGTTCAAGTATCACACCTGCCTGTCTGTGTAATTACATAATGTGACAGAGACCGAACTCGGGCCATAAATCAATGCTTTTTGTTTATGGTGTATAGCCAGATTGGTGTTAAGTTCAAATTGCATGTGGTCAGTGATCGCAGTTGTGTATTGAATATTGTCATTAGCAGACAGGCAGGCAGACACACAGGTGTCAATAAAACAAGACATTGAGTTTTGTCTGTGACAACAACATATCTATATCACAGTTAGAAATTCTGTCAACGCTAAATAATGACATTGCTTTTAAGTATCGAACTGAAAGTGACTCGTAAGAAGAACGGTGGTGAAATAGACAAATGAAATTATATAAACAGTTTATTTACTGTCATAACATATAAAAAGCTCGCGCCTGTGAGATATCAACAAAACATTAGGAAAATAGCTCACACCAAAGCCTTCACCGAGTATTCACCAGACAGCCCGCTTCCGAAAAGTCGGGGGAAAATTAGTGAATTGTTTGAACTCCGATTTCGCGCGGGTTTTTTTCATCGCTTTATTTTTCAATTTTATAAGTTGAATTTGCATTTTTGATGATTTGTTTCGGTAAGTCCATACCGAAAGGTATCAGAATCTGCAAAGTTGTATTTTACGTGACCTTTAACATTTTGATTTACAGTTATAAAACTAAAGTGATAAGCTTTGTTATTGACTCAGCAACTTCCAAAATGCCGATCAAACAATTTTGATTGGTCAGCATGTTGCTTGTATGTTGTTAATTAATCACACACTCAGCACTATTCCAGCTGTATGATGGCAGTGTGTAAATAATCAATTCTGGACCAGACAATCCAATGACTGACATTATTTGCATCAATCTACGAAATTCGGGATACAACAAGAAGCATCAACCGAGTCAGTGAGCCTGACTACCCATTCTATTAGCTATATGAACCTATATGAGTTTATATCAGGGAGCATTTGCAATTAATAATACATACCAGCAAAATAAAACCAGGTACAGCATAACACTGTTACAATACTGAGTCAAAAAAGAAACTTCACATTCTTTCTTCAGGGCACTATAAAAGAACAAGAGATGGTAAGATGGTTAAATTGTTATTATTTCATTGCTGAGATCTGTGTGATGTACTCGATACACTGACAGTGCCATAATCAGTTCCATTAGGCTACACCGCCGTTCCAAAACATGGGTATACAGAATGTCAAGTCACAAGAATAAAAATTCGAAATTTCTCAGTTCAATATTGTGTATGGCCGCCCCGCGCATTCACCACTGCCAAACACCGTCTCCTCATCGACTGCCTGATGCTTGTGAACACGTGGTTGGGGATTCTGCGCCATTGCCCTTGCAAGGCAGCGCCAAGTTCCTGCAAATTCTGAGGTTGGTTCCTAAGACCACGAAGCCTTCTCCCAAGTGCATCCCAAAGCGTGCTTTATTGGATTCAGGTCAGAGGACCTCGATGGCCAGTCCATGACGTTGATTCCAGCGTTTTGAAGGAAAAGGTCAACATCGCGGTATGCGGCCGAGCATTATCATGCTGGAACTGTAGACCTGGGCCATGAGCCGCCATGAAAGGAACGAAGTTCAGGGGTGAGCACCTGGTCGTGCGCAAGCAGCAGCTGTGAGGTTTCCACGGATGACCAGAAGTCGGGGAGCGGTTGTTCCCACAGAAAGCACCCCACACCATGCAACTTCCGCCCGAATCTGTCGACTTCCTGTACACAACATTGGGCATACCATTCATGACGCCGTCTCCAGACTCTATGCCTGCCATCCAGCGAATCTGAGGGTAAACCTGGATTCACCGCTAAAGACGACTTCGATTCCAGTCTCTCTGGGTCCATCGGAGGTGACGTTGGGCCCACAGCAGACGTTGGCGTTGATGAAACTGCGTCAATATTGGCCCACAATATGGGCGTCGAGAATGGAGATTGGCAGCCCACAACCCGATTTCGAATGGTCTGTGAGGACAGTCGACCTCTAAACATCTCAGCCCTGGTTCGTGTAGCCGGCAGAAATCTGTCACGTAGGTGGCGAGGGACGATTTGACGGTCTTCTGCTCGTGGCGTCACACATGGGCGACCGACCTTGGGCGATCAGAAGTGGTGCCAGTTTGTTGTAGAGGACCTCGCAAGTCATACACAGTACAACGGCTGCATCCCATTGCTCTTGCGACGTCAATAACTGATCTTCCCGCTTGCAACATGCCAACGGCATCGCGTTCATGTTGCACATTTGACAATCGTGGCATTTCAAGTACCGTTAGAACTGTGGTTTAAAAGTGTTTTTTCAATTCTTGAGGCCAATGCAAACACGTGCATATGAAGAAAACTTCGATGCGAAGATCACGTGATCGACTGCACGTGCAAAACCTGATTTGGCACTAACGTCATTTGCACGACGAATGGATGGGTTTGAGTGGGTTTTGCTAACGTTTTTCTAGAGTCGAAAGATGGGGATCCCACTTCGGATACATAGATGTATCATCAGAGAAAAATTATTCATTATTTTTACAAATTACATTTTGTGAAGTTTCTTTTTTGACTCAGTATATTTCCCAGTGCTAACTACACTTATGCATTGTAATAGGTGTCATCAAAATACTGAAGCAGATACAGTATTCCCAGAAATTATTGAGAAAGTTGTTTCGGCAAACATCTTATACATGCATACTAACTATAGAAGTTTTACTTTAATCAATATGTTGAGATATGATTCTCTTACTAAGTGTCTTTTCAGTACTTTGTGCGACCTCCTTGCTCTGCAATACATAACTGAATGCACCTAGGTACACTACCGATCAAAGTTTGTAGGAAATCGTGTGACAGCTTATCCCAACAATTGACCACTTCTTTCTTCATATCCTCAATATTTCCTTTTTGGTTTATTCTGTCCTTCATTAATCCCCACACATTCTCAGTAGGGTTAAGATCTGGGATGTAGCTGGGCCAGTCGAAAACTTGAACATTTTCGTCCGACAACCACTGTTTTGTGGAGCCCACATTGTGTTTTAGGTTGTTATTATGCTGGAAAATCCAATTATCTTCATACAGTGTTCGGGCCGTTGGAAGGAGGTGATCATTTAAGATGTCAACATATCGTTCCTTTGTCAAATTTTCAGTGAAAATACACAACGGTGTCACTCCACGTGATGATGTCCCACCTCACATGTGAAATTTCGGGCTATGTTTTGGGTGTTGGTAGATAGGTTTCATGGTATCTTTTGTCTAAATTTTCACGCAGTTCGGAAAAAGACAGACTGAACTTTCGTCAGGAAACAAAGATTTTCTCAATCATTTCTGGGAATACTATACATGTATCTAGTTGCCTTCCATCACATGGTGAGTGAGTGAGTTTAGTTTTATGCCAATTTTAGCAATATTCCAGCAATATCACGGCATGGGACACCTGAAATGGGCTTCACATTGTGCCCATGTGGGGGTTCAAACCGGGGTCTTTGGCATGACAAGCAAACGCTAACCATTAGGCTACCCCACCTCTCCTGTGGAATGAGATATCAGTTTACCAATTTTGTTCACTTCATTGATCAAGGTCATCATTTCAATAAGCAAGTAACAACTAGATTAGACTGGCAAATTTTGGCAAAATTTTGATATCGAGTAATAAACACTGTATTTCTTTCTTGGTTAATGTTTTATACAAACCTTCATTATTAAAACATAATTTAAATAAAAAGAAAGTTGATTTTACCTTTATCTTCATATTTTGGAGTAAAAGAAGAAATGTTTTGATGGCATTAGAAACAAAATTAGCTGTACAATGAATATAGAAAAGTAAAAACAGAAACAGTATATGTTCATTAAGGGGACAGTTACAAGATCCCACAATTCCAGTGTCTCCTCCCATGTTGGCCAAACAAAATGGTATGAAAATAGCATCTCTCACATCAGTAGGGAGTCAGCCTACAGACCAAGCTACTAATTACTTACAGATAAGTTGAGAAAATGTATTCTGTTTCAAGATTAATAGAAAAGCTTTTCCAATGTATCTGACAACAATGGATTTACAATGTCTAAAGCAGTATTTGATACAGTCACGTGTCACGGTTAATCCAGTTGCCAATCACTACCACACCTGTCTTGAACTTATTTCACATTATTGATAAAATTGATGTAAGGGGTATTCAATAAGTCTACATTTCTGTATGAGAGTCTTATCATTGTGCTGTGACTATCTTATGTCTAAGTAAGAGTATAAGAGTTACAGTCAGGGTGCTGTCACTATCGTATGTCTAAGTAAGAGTATAAGAGCTGCAGTCATGGTGCTGTGACTATCGTATGTTTGAGTAAGAGTATAAGAGGTACAGTCATGGTGCTGTCACTATCGTATGTCTAAGTAAGCGTATAAGGTATAAGAGTTACAGTCATGGTGCTGTGACTATCATATGTCTGGAGTAAGAGAATAAGAGTTACAGTCATGGTGCTGTCACTATCGTATGTCTGAGTAAGAGAATAAGAGTTACAGTCATGGTGCTGTGACTATCATATGTCTGGGTAAGAGTATAAGAGTTACAGTCATGGTGTTGTGACTATCGTATGTCTGAGTAAGAGTATAAGAGTTACAGTCATGGTGCTGTGACTATCTTATGTCTAAGTAAGAGTATAAGAGTTAGAGTCATGGTGCTGTCACTATCTTATGTCTAAGTAAGAGTATAAGAGTTAGAGTCATGGTGCTGTCACTATCGTATGTCTGAGTAAGAGAATAAGAGTTAGAGTCATGGTGCTGTCACTATCGTATGTCTGAGTAAGAGTATAAGAGTTACAGTCATGGTGCTGTGACTATCGTATGTCTAAGTAAGAGTATAAGAGTTACAGTCATGGTGCTGTGACTATCGTATGTCTAAGTAAGAGTATAAGAGTTAGACATGTCACTATCGTATGTCTGAGTAAGAGTATAAGAGTTACAGTCATGGTGCTGTCACTATCATATGTCTAAGTAAGAGAATAAGAGTTACAGTCATGGTGCTGTGACTATTGTATGTCTGGGTAAGAGTTACAGTCATGGTGTTGTGACTATTGCATGTCTGAGTAAGAGAATAAGAGTTACAGTCATGGTGCTGTCACTATCGTATGTCTGAGTAAGAGAATAAGAGTTACAGTCATGGTGCTGTGACTATCTTATGTCTCAGTAAGAGAATAAGAGTTACAGTCATGGTGCTGTGACTATCGTATGTCTGAGTAAGAGAATAAGAATTACAGTCATGGTGCAGTGACTATCGTATGTCTCCGTAAGAGAATAAGAGTTACAGTCATGGTGCTGTGACTATCGTATGTCTGAGTAAGAGAATAAGAGTTACAGTCATGGTGCTGTGACTATCGTATGTCTGAGTAAGAGAATAAGAGTTACAGTCATGGTGCTGTGACTATCATATGTTTGAGTAAGAGAATAAGAGTTACAGTCATGGTGCTGTGACTATCATATGTCTGGGTAAGAGAATAAGAGTTACAGTCATGGTGCTGTCACTATAAGAGAATAAGAGTTATGTCTGAGTAAGAGTATAAGAGTTACAGTCATGGTGCTGTGACTATCAAGAGTATGTTTGAGTAAGAGAATAAGAGTTACAGTCATGGTGCTGTGTGACTGAGTAAGAGAATAAGAGTTACAGTCATGGTGCTGTGACTATCTTATGTAAGAGAATAAGACTTACAGGAGAATAAGAGTTACAGTCATGGTGCTGTGACTATCGTATGTTTGAGTAAGAGAATAAGAGTTACAGTCATGGTGCTGTCACTATCGTATGTGTGAGTAAGATAATAAGACTTACAGTCATGGTACTGTCACTATCGTATGTCTGAGTAAGAGTATAAGAGTTACAGTCATGGTGCTGTGACTATCGTATGTTTGAGTAAGAGAATAAGAGTTACAGTCATGGTGCTGTCACTATCTTATGTGTGAGTAAGATAATAAGACTTACAGTCATGGTACTGTCACTATCGTATGTCTGAGTAAGAGTATAAGAGTTACAGTCATGGTGCTGTGACTATTGTATGTTTGAGTAAGAGAATAAGAGTTACAGTCATGGTGTTGTGAACTCCATCTGAGAGTAGGGTAATTACAATCACAGTGCTTTGACTCAATTGTTTTAAGTTGAAGTCGGAGTATGAGAGTTGCAATCAAAGGGCTAGGACTATTCTCAGTCACTATAAGTTTACGGGGGTTATGAACATAGTGTGATTTATGGAAGATTATTTGAGTTATGATCATCTCAGAGCTAAATCATGAGACGGCCCTCCTGGCACCTGGTAGAGCTGCTGGGGCGGTGGGGTAGCCTAGTGGTTAAAGCGTTGGCTTGTCACGCCGAAGACCCAGGTTGAATTCCCACATGGGTACAATGTGTGAAGCCCATTTCTGGTATTCCCCGGCCATGATGTTGCTGGAATATTGCTAAAAGCGGCGTAAAACCAAACTGAGTCAGTGGTAGAGCTGCTCAAGCAACTCCCTTAGAGCCGCACAAACTCCCTGTGTAGAAACTACCTTGGCCAGATGATGGAAGTCAACAGGATAATCCATGATATCGACAGGAGTCTAGATTGGTCTGAGAAAGCAAGTTAACTCCTACAAAGTGCTGATCAGAAGCAGTCATTGATAACACCCTGCCCCGTAACAATGACAGCCACAAGATCCTGAGTGGGAGGAGCAACGTTCCTCCAGGCTTTAATGTTCTTGATGGATTTCGCTTGTGTGGGGGACATTTTGTGACGTGATCTATAGCTGGTAATGATGGTGATCAGAAATAATCCTGATGACAGCTGATTGATTTCTGCTTCATGTATCGGACTCGTTTATTCCACCTACCAACAAATAACCCTATACAGTAGTTAATTTTCAAAATGATCCTGATTGGTTTTATCAGATCACATTGATTCCATTTAATGTGAAACTTCTATGACACACTACTTGTGCCCTTAGCAATACACCACATTTCAGTGGCTCAAGAAGACCGAAAGAATCAGCATGACAAAAAATTCGAAGTGTCGAATTGTGAACTCAGATCCGGTATTGTGTTCAATTAGAGCATGTATTTCCTAAAAAATTGTTTCAACTTTCTGGAGCACAGAAACCTTTAATAGTGAACATGATTTTAATAACAAATTGATGAATATAACAAAGTGCATTTTTTTGTCAAGACCGCTTGCTGTGTATTTTAATCAAAACATGTAAAACAAGCTACAGTTAAAATGAATAAAAATTACTGGTCCCTTTGAGTTTAATATAACCATAGATTACTGTACGCATACATTAAGTGATTCATTCACAAGACAAAAGATCCATTTAGGAGAGAAAATGAGATGGGACAAAGAAAAACTATCCCAAAAATTGAAACCATTAATTATTTACATCATGCTTGTCTGAGACCAAACAATTAATACAGTATTTCTACCCAAATCTTCACCAGAACACAACAAAGAGTAATTGTGACTTTTTACAAATTATGATTGAAGATTTAGATTTAGAAACATTTGTTTAAACATATACTTTATGTTAAAAAGTGTGGCAACTTATCAACAATCTTAATCACCACAAAACAAAGAGCACCTGTAATATTCACTAGTTTATGATTAACAAACTATCATTTCAAACATTGATATTCCTGTTAAAAACAACTTATCACAAATTCACTCACACACTACCACTCCAAACAACAACAGGTGTTATTTTCCCAGTTCATGATTTGACAGTTTCTGCCGTTAATATGATAAAGCATGCTTGTATTTGTTTATTAACCACAGCGACCGATACTTGACAACAGTGTTACTAGTGTCTCTCATCAGCAGCCCCCACTGCAGTGTGCTGTATAAAGTCATCACCGTGTTTCTATGGGTCTGCTGACATCAATGGCTAAATGCAGCGCCATAGGTAGACGATATATTAGCATATGAAAGCCTCCCTCAAGTGATAGAACTTGTTCCTGGTTCAGTTTGCACAGAGTAAGATCGAGTATATCCAGCAAGTATTTACAGGTTACACTGTGTTTGTGGAAGCTCCTTGTCACGGAACTGAGTGCCTTCTTCCGGGAGATATGTTTCCGGAGACTTGTGTAATGACACATCATTAAGGTAAGGGTGTTACTCTGACAGTCCTCTATCACTTAACCACATCCTCAAGATCATTCCAGGTAAAATTAAGCTAGTTCAGAAACTTTGTGCAGATGTCAGTTTTCTGAATCAGTTGTCTGAATCAGTTGTTGAGTTAAAGATAGGCAATTATGTTTTCAAGGATAGGAAATTTTAACCTATAGTAAATGTTTGTTTTGTTTCTTTGCTTATTTACTGATATTCCAGCTTAAAATGATAAATAATATTTCATGTAAATGTCAGTACCGGACGAACCAGTGATTGACGTCATGGTAACATGAACAGGATACAAAGCCACACAACCATGTCACAGCAGGAGTCTCTTTCTAAAGTCATCTCATTCCAGCGTGTTCACCTCTTCTATCTCGGAATCCTTGAAAGGTTTTAATTAGTAAGTGAGGCTGTACAATAAGAAACACTCTACTTTTACCATGAGTGTGTCAATAAATAATCTGAAGCAATGACGTTCAACATAGCAATGTTACACGTCACCGGGCAGAAAGACACACTGGTATACAACAAATATGCCACAGATGAGAGGTGCGAAAAGAATTTAAGATACACAGAAAAAACTTTACATTTTTAAATCTGTAAGAGTTTAGTTTCTAGTAAAAGTAATGTAATAATAATGAGTGGGACCACATTAAACTGATATTGAAGTATGGCAGGAGTTGTCATAACTGCTTTGATCTGGAAGGTTGATTGGCCAAAGACGGAAATTTAAAAGCTGATGTTTTTGGATCAATATCGTGTAATACTGCCATGGTTTGTCAAACATTCATATTCTCAATGAGTCTGTCCACTCTGAGGGAGTCTGTCCACTCCTTTACTAGCTTTAGCCAACATGATGCTGTCGCTCATGCTTCCTTACAATATATCCCAGAAGTGTTCTGTGTGAG